CCGTCCAGAAGACCTGTACTATTCTTTTTCTTTTTGATTTTTTACCTGGATTACTGAGATGCATCAGGACATTTTAAAACACTTTTGTTTTCAATGTACTGAAATAAAAATAATAGTTACCATTAAAAAAAACTTGGTAAAATTACAGATCATCAAAAAAAATTACTTTAGTACCATAACCAAGTAAATGTACTTTGTTACATTACTTTGGGTTTCTGATAACTATTCTTATGTCTCAAAAATTATTTTTAAAACTTTCTCTGTTACCCTAAAAAATAAGATCCAGTAAAATGTTTAGCAATATCTGTGATTCTTCCTTTTTGTTGTTTTAATTTAAAGCCCCTGTAATCATCCAGAGTCTCTTTCTGTCTTGATGTGTTTTATTTTAGGTCATACGCTGCTTCAGGTATATATTTTTAAACCCAAACATTTCTTATGTTGCCTGTTCTCTTCCAGTCCCTTGAAAGACAGATAATGTTGGACTGTTTTGTGTCTGTTTGTCAACTTTTAGTTCAATAACGTTGGGAAAACTATCTAGTGTAAATGACCCTCTTCTTTGTGGACTTTAGACTTTTTAAGACCAGTATTGAGTTGAGGCCCCCTGAACCAGGCATCCTTCTCTTACTTTGCTTCTCAGTTCAGGAGAAATCTTCAGATCAAACTAAAGTTTAAACTTTTGTCTCTTTGGGGAAAACTGATAAAGTTTAAGGTCAGCTGCTGTATTTAAACTGGACTTTGTGTTTGTTTGTTTGTTTGTTTGTTTGTTTGTTTGTTTGTTTGTTTGTTTAAGAATGATTCTGTTTTATTTTGTTGACATCTTTAGCTTGTTTCATTGTGAGGATGGGACAGAAAACAGTTAATTATTGGAACAGAAAAGGAAGGAAGCCACAATGCTGGATCAGTTAGGGACAGTTACTAACAGATGAGGGGGTCAGAACACCTCCCACCTGCCTGCAGGGGGAACCAGGATGTTCCAAGTGGGTCAAAGATACAGAAACAAAGAATAAACATGATGAGGCTACATGCTTTAAATACAACAGAACTAAAGGAAAGTTCTGATCTACATTGACCTTCAGGTGATCAGTACCTGGTAACCTGGTTAGTGTTTGAATGAACCGGACCTGGATTGTCTTCGAAGGAACCAAACTTGGTTAGTGTTTGAAGGAACCAAACCTGGTTAGCGTTTGAATGAACCAAACCTGGTTAGTGTTTGGAAAAACCAGACCTGGTTAGTGTTTGAAGGAACCAAACCTGGTTAGTGTTTGAAGGAACCAAACCTGGTTAGTGTTTGGAAAAACCAGACCTGGTTAGTGTTTGAAGGAACCAAACCTGGTTAGTGTTTGAAGGAACCAAACCTGGTTAGTGTTTGGAAAAACGGGACCTGGTTAGTGTTTGCAGGAACCAAACCTGGTTAGTGTTTGGAAAAACCGGACCTGGTTAGTGTTTGAAGGAACCAAACCTGGTCAGTGTTTGGAAAAACCGGACCTGGTTAGTGTTTGAATGAAGCAGACCTGGATGGTGTTTGAATGAACCGGACCTGGTTAGTGTTTGCAGGAACCAAACCTGGTTAGTGTTTGAAGGAACCGGACCTGGTTAGTGTTTGAAGGAACCAAACCTGGTTAGTGTTTGAAGGAACCAAACCTGGTTAGTGTTTGAATGAACCGGACCTG